ACGTTGATGATCTACTCCATGTCGACGTCGATCTTGAAGCTGCCCATGCTGCTGCAGATCAACTTGAGAAGGTTCTAGAGCGTGCTGGTTTAAAAGCTAAAGCATATACATTCGTTGATTCCCCTCCTGATGATGCTGTTTCTTCTGATGGTGTACATGTGGGTTTGGTTGGGTTGTTGTGGGCTCCTGTGGAAGATTATATTTGTCTGGATATAAAGGAATTATATTTTGGAAAATCTAAGCGGGGAGTTCTACCTGAGTTTGTGATAGGGGATTATTCTGATGCCTTAAAACGTAATTTTACCCGTCGAAATCTACTAGGAAAAGTTGCTGGAATTTTCGATCCGATTGGTTTGGCCACACCTGTGACCTCACGTTTCAAACTTGACCTCCATGACCTCTGCTTGGAATCTCTGGGTTGGGATGATACTGTACCTGATTCTTACCTGGAGAAGTGGGTTCAAAACCTTCATGATATTCAAGAATTAAGAGAAGTTAAGTTCAGAAGGACCGTGATACCTCCTGATGCTGCATCACTGAATATAAGTCTTTTAATTTCATCTGATGCATCTAAAAGTATTGCTGCCACCTGTGTTCATGCCAGAGTTCCTCTACTTTCTGGAGGTTTTAGCTGTCAATAATACACTGCAAAGAGCAAAATTGTCAGATATGAAACTGTTCCTAGAGCTGAGTTGAGGGCTGCTGTGATGTCCGCTTCTCTTGGTCATACTGTTAAATATAATCTGGGTTCCAAATTTCGTGATTCTATGTATGTGACTGACTCGACCATCGTCTTACACTGGTTGAGCCACGGCGAGCGCCCCCTGGACACCGCGGTGAGAAACTCTGTGATTGAGATAAGAAGATTTACAGATGTGAATCAATGGTACCACATAGATGGTAGCCTCAACATTGCGGATCTAGGGACTCGCCATGCTCACGTCAATGATATTGGTCCTGGTTCGGAATGGCAGAATGGTAAAGGTTGGATGAATCTCCCTGTCTCTGATATGCCTGTCAAAACCATCAACGAAGTAAATCTTTCATCTGAGGAAAAACGTCTAGCTTCTCAGGAATTGAAACATTTTTTCATGTACAACGATCTTGCTGACCTGGTTCCGAAGGTCTCTGAGAGGTACCGGTTCAGTCTCTACCTGGTGGATCCCAACAAGTTCAGTTGGGAGAAATCTGTTAGGATTATGGGATACGTTTTAAAGTTCTTGTCTCTCGTCAAGAAAGATTGGAAACCAGTCTGGTTCCCTGCTGCTCCGCCCTCTTTCCTGGATAATACTATTTTTCAAGAAGACTATTGTTCCTGTTGGCTAAGTGAGGTGGAAACTTTTGAGTCTAAGGTGGAAACTTTTGAGTCTAAGGTGGAAACTTTTGAGTCTGAGGTGGAAACTTTTGAGTCTGAGGTGGAAACTTTTGAGTCTGAGACAGAAACTTTTGAGCTTGAGATGAGAACCTTTGAAGGTGAGAATGAAACTTTTGAAACCCTCGAAAATCTGAGTTTCGTTAATCTGAGTAAACCTGGTTGCTGTGTTGAACTGGTACAAGCTGATGTTCATAAAGCAGAGAATCATTTCTACTACAAGGCTATGCAAGAGGTTCTAAAATTTTCTCCGGAGAAGGAATATAAAGATGCATCTGTAATCAAGAATGGTATTCTTCACTATGTGGGTAGGATTCTCGACAGCCAGGAGATTTGTTCACCTGAAGATACTATGTTCGACTTAACTCCTCTGTCCTTCGTTTGTCCTATCGTCGATCGTTACAGTCCCGTTGGTTATTCTGTGATGCTTCACTCGCATGAATCGATTTCTCATCATAAATCAGCTACTGCTAGTTTACTGGAATCACGAGGCTTGGCTTTTATCCTCAGAGGTCGAGATCTAGCTACAGAGGTCGTCAAGGCTTGTCGACCCTGTATTCGTTACCGATCGAAGTTAATTGAAGTCGAGATGGGAAAAATTCATCAGTCTCGTCTTACAATCGCGCCTGTGTTCTACTGCTGCCAAGTGGACTTGTTTGGACCTCTCATCGCAATTTGTGAACACCAACACAGATCTACAGTCAAGATTTATGGAGTTGTTTTTAAGGATCCTGGTAGTTGCGCAATATCTATCCATGTGATGCAAAACTATTCTACTCCAGCCTTTCTTCAAGCTTACACTCGTTTTGCTGCAAGATATGGACATCCTACAGAATTGAGAATCGATGAGGGCAGCCAACTAATGTCAGCTTGTAAAAATATGGAAATATCTATCATGGATATCAAGGATAATCTCACTGCTAAACATCAAGTCGGAATCAAGTTCAGTACGTGTCCTGTCGGTGGTCATAATGCCCACGGTATGGTGGAACGATCTATTCGAGAAATAAAAAACCTGATGTCTAAAGTGTACAAGGGTTTGAAGCTTGATATATTATCTTTGGAAACCTGCTTTGCCTGGATTTCTTCTGAACTGAACAATTTACCTATCTGTCTTGGTTCTCGAGTCGATAATTTAGATCATCTTGATCTAATTACCCCCAATCGTCTTTTATTAGGAAGGAATAATCGTCGCGCTTTAGGAGGATTTGCGACGGTGTCTTCTCCATCGAGGTTAATTGAGCAGATGGACCGTGTATATGAAGTTTGGTGGAAGATTTGGAAATCTGAGAAGTTGATTGATTTTATTCCCCAGCATAGTAAATGGAAAAAGACCAATGAGCAGTTAAATGTTGGCGATGTTGTGATTTTCCTCAAGTCAGATTCTGAAAACCGTCTTGGGGAACCGATTTGGAGAATTGCAAGAGTTCGATCTGTTGAGACCTCGGAGGACGTGAACGAGAAGGTCATGAGAACAACGAATAGAAGTGTTCGTAGTGTCGTCGTTGTTCATCGAGAATCTGATCTAGATGTTGTTCAGTCCCTTGAAGTAGCAGCTGAGGAGGCTAGACTGAATGCTGAACCCAAGTGAAAATAAACGTAAACCTTTTTATTTCAGGCCTGAATGAATCAAATCTGTGAATTCTAATAAACAGTGACACTAGACAAAGTTCTATTCTAAACAGTTAACATGAATGATCTAATTAGTGATAAAATCTGTGACTTGAATCCTGAATTAAATAAGTTTTAAGGTTCTGATTATATTCTATCACGTTTTGGAAACTACAATCAAGATTCAATCTCTACAGAAATCCCTGAACCTTCTCTTCCCCGCCCAGTGTGGAATTTGAAGAATTCTAATAAACTTTCAATGTTCAGGATTTCTGAAAAAAAA